ATAAAAAAGCACAAGTGCTCCCTGCATTTCTGTCCTTCAGCCTCAGCATTTATTTAGCCTATGGTTTCATATTGTATAAAAGGTTCGTCTTTTGTTCTGCTTTACACAATATCCTACTGTGTTAAATGAGACCTTCATGTGAGAAAAAACCTGCAGAATTAGTCACTTCCATCTGTCTTACCCCTGTTTATCAGTTGAGAAATTATTTGATAGTTGAATATGTAAATACTGCTGAACTCCAAGTACTTTACTATGATATATTGTTTTAAAGTAGTATTTTCATAAACATTCAGCACTCTCTTAACTTGCTTTTAGTGACATTAAAGGGATATGGACTTCTAAGCCACTCTCAACTGTATCAAGAAAAGGATTTAGAAAAAATACACAGTATTGCCATGTCTTTCTGCAGTCCCATTTAAGTTATGATCCTCTTACTAATACTATCATCTTTTTTATTTCTTTTCCTTTGCTGCTAGTGCCTCTGTACTGCCCCGCTCTCTTGCAGAGCCTGCAGCCTCATCTGCCCGGCCCTTACCTCTGCAACGCAGGGTGCAAGGAAGGCCAGCAGCAAACTCGGTGGTAACTGTAAGAGGTAGCCTTGAGAAAGGCTGAGGAGAGAGGTATGACACAAATGCTGCCTGTCCAAGGGACTTATGCACATCTTTCTACCTGCGATTCCCAGCTGGAAGTTCCTTCCTAGAGTTAAGCACCGAGCAAATCCTTCCTCCCCAAACCGAGCCAAAGGTCCCCCTCTTTCTGCCCAATACTCGTGATCAGAAGATATCCACAAGATGTGCCAGATTGACCTGAAGAAACTTGGTATTTCTCACTTTCAGAAAGATACCTCAATTGCCAGGCTATAGCCTTATTTATTGCATGCACTCATTAGACTGGAGATTTGCCCCTGGGTTTCCCGTACCTCAGTGGCTCCAGCCACTGGTCTGCTGAGGAAATCCTGCCTTTGGCTTTTTTTGCTGCCTTAGGTAGATGAAAGCCACATAGTTCATAAATTTAAGAAGAGCCATATCATGAGCTGGACACACAGTTATTTACCACTGTCATGACCTGAGTAGTCCCGGCCATACCTAGAGGCAGTTTGGCACCCAAAGGGCTGGTGGAAGGTGGAGCTGTGAGGACTTTAAACACAAAGTGAGGTGGCAGCAGAGTAGAGGTTTTGAGTATCTAATTTTATATTTAGGCACTTCAGTTAGCAAATGGCATACTACAGCACAGCCTGCAATATAACATATGTAGCGATGTCTATACTAACCTTAAATATGCCAGTTAAACACCAGAATGGTGAGACCAGGCAGCAGTGTAAATTATTCAATGCTGATCTGTCTGCATTGCTTTGGTACCAAGCTAATCCAATTAAGCCTCTGTCATTACTTCTTCATCATTACTGTATTCATCATGCAAGATAGCACTGTGTACTGGTACATGAGGAACTCACACTTCCATTTGTCTGTGCAGCCATAACTCTACACCTGTCATTTTACTTCCAAATTAGGTTATGTAGAAGCTTCACCAAACCTTCTGTTTTCAAATGTGCCAGTCAACATACCACCTTCAACATCAAAATCAACTGTGAAATGTAATACTATTAATTGGGAAGCAAGAATAATTTATTTCAGTTGTGGTTTTGATTTTACCAAATGAAATTAATGGTACTATATAAAGTAGATGCTAAGACTTCAGTATGCAATTTGCTCAAGATCCAGGCTGTTTTAATCTTTGTCTTTTAAAAGCATTTTTAATCATGAATTGGAAGGTAAAAGAAGTAATACACCTTTTAGTATCAATTTCTGCATACAGGACCAAGCAAGCAGGACAGCGTACTCTTTAATGGGACCACTTTTTCAGAATAGACATTAACTGAGGCTTTTTCATGCACAGTTGATTTTGTATAAACTGATTGACACCTTTGGGGGTCGTCTTTCCACTGACTCATAATTTTGCTCACTCTTGAAAAAAGCCTTCTGCACACCCAGTATTCTCTAGTTAAAGCTGAAAATTCAACTCATCATATTTACACAATAAAAAAAAAATCCATTCTGCGTTGTTTTTAATTGCAAATCCTACTCAAGGGACCAATTCTCTTGCTTAGGAGGCAGCCCTGTGCCTTCTACTAGAGAACCAACTGCAGTCAATTATGGTAATGAAATGTCAATAAATATAAAAATTTAATACAGCCTGCTCTTGGTGAGTGGCAGATGAGGACTTGCCTCCCAGACAAATTTGCTGGTGCCGCAAATATTAAATGCACCTGAAAGAGTAGCAGGTTGCCTGAGAGCTCTCCAGTAGAGGGATGGTGGGAGATCCAGGCATCTACTGGGTTTTTCCATTATGGCATAATCGCTGCAATAAGGCCACTGATATTCTTGACATCCAGACATCTTAACTTCTTATTATGAAGTGAATAGCTTATTTCCCCCACAAACTGGAACCTCAGTGAGGGATTTTGAGCTTTTTTTACCCCCTGAACAATTACAAAAGGGAAATTAAGTTGTGAAAGTAGATGTTTATATGTGACCAGTTTCTCAATATGAAGGAGTTGAATCATTTCACTATATTAAACAGGTCTTCAAGTAAAAAGTATTTGAGGTTACTTTATTTTTTCTTATTATTTATACAAGTATATACACTTACATATAAATACATATATATATATAAGTGTCTATGTAGAAAGAGGGAGAAATAACAGATGAACTAAAAAGTAGTTTATGAAAGATGGTTTGGCTGGGATTTCGAAAGACCAGATCCTAGTTTTGTCACAGATTTCTTTGGCCCTGAGTAAGCGATTTAATGTCACTACTTCAGTTTTCCCAGGTGTAAGAGAGCGCCATAAAACCTACCTCACAGGGTACTTAAGCATAATCCATTGACTTAATTGAAACAAGCACAACTTTAAATGCTTTGCTGAGTTGGAGCAGTGTTATTCTTAACAGCCATACAAAAAGTGTAACTTCATTTTTCTTGTACAGTTGCCTTCAGTCAATGTGTTGGGAGCACTGAAACTGCATCTAAATAAAATGGCTTATTAAAAGTCATTAATCTATTGATTATATTAAGGTCAACACTGGGGGAAGTTATTTGTAGTTCCTTTCGGTCATCTCTATCTTTCCTGGCTGAAATTTTCTCAGGTTTAAAGTCTTTCAGGTTTTTTTTTTGCTTGCTTTACTGCTGTTTATACTTGAGAAAAATCAATTCAATAATTTAAAATTCAAAAACATATTCAAAATACATGTTCCTTAATAGATTTTTTAAAAAACAGATTTTCAGGGATCAGTGCCTGGAAAAACAAAATTTTGCAGTATTGGTTTGTTCCCTCTGGTGATACCTGGCCATTCTTTATTAACCACTTTATTATGGGAGACCCTAAAGGCGGGATTAAAGCACAGATACCTTTAAACAAATCATTAACCAAAAGTGTGCACTTACCTTTGTGCATCGTCTCAGTTTAGAGCCAGACTTCACTTACATGTGCTTAGATGAAGTATGGCTAGCAATTTCCCTGTTGTTACAAACGCTCCTAAAAGAGAAAGGTGTTGGTAATATTAGAGCAGCCAGGCAAGAAAAGGCATTTTGAAAATGTATCAATAACTCATTTAAGTCTCAGCCAGTTGGCCAGGAGTGGTTCATCACAGGAGCAAGCAACACAGTTGGCCATTTCCCTGGGACGGTGGCACTTGCAGGGGATATCCAACACTCTGGTGAAAACAGGGCTGAGCCGAAGGCATTTCAGCTGAACCAGTGGTGGAGATCACCCCAATTCCTGACACACCAGTTACACCCTGCTCCACACTGTCACAGCTGCCAGCCCTGTCTCGGAGCCAGCTCACCCCGGCCCCGGCCCCTGCGTGTCACCTTTGCATCACGCCATTCCCACAGGCTGCAGTACCCGAGCACTTCTCTGCTGCTAACCAGCCCATGACAAAGCGTGCATGTCTTCAGAGTGGCAAAGGCTGGTATGGCCACCTGCGTGGAGACGTCCTCTTAATGGGGACCAGCATCAGCCAGAAAAGTTTCAGTGTGCAAGCAGTGGGGAGGTTGTCCGAGATTCAAGGATCACTCAGGGATGTGTCAGCTATGACAGGCTTTAAGTATACTTTACTTGTGCATATTACCTTTTTCAATATGGTGTATTAATTCCAGCTTTCTGTGGGATTTCTGTAGGCAAGTGACACTTCAGAAAGCTCATAGACAGGTCAGCCTGCCCTGGGAACAAATGGGCAGCATGAGAAGGGCAGCAGACCCCCAGAGCAGTATTGCTTCTTTCTGTGCCCCAGAGAAAGTAGTTCCGCGCGCTGCGGTTGCTGCTGGGGACAATGCAAGTGCAGCTGGCCTGTGTCACGCACCTGCCTCCTCCTCCTCCTTCCCTAGCACGGGAGGACTCGGCAGAACAAGTCCGTTGGAACCAACTCCAACAAATACCAGGATTTTGTGTAGCTAAGGAGAATAGAAACCACTCACACAATACCTCTGTTTCCTGTGGGAATACACCGACATTTCTGGGCTTGAATAGATGTTTCTGGCCAAGTTATGGACACTGGACCATTTCCCATAAATACCGTTACGTCCCTCTGGACTAATACACCCAGTGTAGGCGCGAAGTTCACTTCATCAGTCTTTCTTCACAAGTTCATACAATTACATTGAGAACAAGAGACACCAAACGAATAAAACAAACTGATATGAGGACAGCTGCCAGTGTCATAAGCAGTTCTCATATATAAAGCTTCTAAAAAAGCTAATACAGAGAAACCAGCATTCACACTGACATGACATACCATTAAGATATATGGTTTAATAATATTTTCAATATATACCATTGTGCTAAAAATCGGTTTACATATAAAATCATCTTGACTTGATAACATCATTAAATTGAGAGTGATTCTTTTATCCAGGAGCATCCTGGTTGTACGTGATTGCTTGAAACGTCCTAAAGTGGTTCTGCAGGCGTGACAACCAGACAGAAATATAATTCTCTTTTACAGGTGGATTATTCCGTAATAGCATCCCAAGCTGGAGCCACTCTCAACAATCTTATGAGCCATGCACAAGAACTAGTAGCAAAGCTTCGTTCCCTGCAGTTTGATCTACGAGAATTTGTATGTCTCAAATTCCTGGTGCTGTTTAGTTTAGGTAGGTACACTCTACTCTTCATACTTAATAGTGGTATTATATTTTTTCTAAAAACATTGAAAATACTTTGCTTTTCTTAATTTTTTCCTGAAAAATATGATTTTGAAATATATTTAATGAAGTTTACAGTAATCCAAGAATTCTTTTTTAATTATCAGTTGCAGGAAAATTATTTATAAGGATTAAAAGTGGGTTTCTATGGAAATTACTTCTAAAATCTATAGAATTTAATAGAGTATTACAAGCTTTCTGTATTTCTGTATGTGATTTCTGAATATTTCAGAGCAAGAATAAAATTCTATTAGAAATTCTAGAGAACAGTGGAAAATACAGATTGCCAAGTTTTTCTATGATACTGAATATAGTTATGTAAAGCAGATGGAGTGGGGATATGCTTGAAATATCCCGCTTTTTCAAAGGCATCTGTGGTAAGTATAAACAATCTTCTTTGCATATGATGGCTGTCATATCGTAATCCATAAATCAGGAATGTATCTCATAGTTTTTAAGAAGTGAAAGGAACTCTTAAAGTGCAAATTAATGATAATAGCTTTATGACAGATCTGGCTAGGAAATAAACTTTAAAGGGAAGACTGTTTTGTACTAGTGGCGAGGACATGGAACAGGAAAGATACCTATGCAAGACAAATTAAACCAGTGCCCTCCAATGAATCAGTCAAGAAAAATCACCAGTGCCGGGGAAAAAAAAAGGACTTAGGGAGATGGATTCTTATTGACTTCATAGGAACAGATTTTTCTGCCTGTCCTCCATTTCAGGTTTGCACTTTGTTGATTTAATAAAGCTGGTCTAAATAAACTTTGGCCAAGTGAACCTTTATTTACTGGCAGACAGTTGAAAGGAGAGACTTAAAAACATAAATAAGGTCAGACACAGCCATAGCCAAAACTCCTGTTTTACTCAAAAGGTCTTTTTTTTCATCTACAAAGAGAGTGAACAGTTGAGCCAAGCACAACAATGAAAGAAATATCAGCAGTGGTGACATTTGTAATGTTTTTCTTTCATTTTCAGTTTAAAAAAAAATGTCTGTAAAGGAATAAAATTCCACAAATAAATTATTATAATACAATTGCAATTATACTAAAAGAAACAGTTTTGGTTACAGTGTAAAGCATTAATTACTGTCCTAAACATGTCCCTTCCGTGTGGTGTTTATAGAATTTGAACCTGCTTCGGAAAATTCTGTATGAAGCTCTCTTTAAATTCAGGGAGCATAAAAGATCAATACTTCAGAGGTATAGGGGACAGAACAGGTAGGAAAAAATAAGAATTATTTTTAAAATTAGAACAATGCTAACAGAATTGGCTGTTATGAAGTACGCACATTCTGAATCCTAGGAAGATATGATGGATTTCCTTGGTAACTGTTAACATTCTGTATTCAGGGCTTCGTTGCTTTCCATGTCTTAGATTCAGAGAAAGAGAAGCAAGCCATCTGTTGCAGAAATTATGTTTTATGAATTAATCTGGTGAATGACAAGAATTCAGACTTTCTAATTCCTAATAAGTAGGTTTTTCAATCACTAGACAGTGGCACAGAAAAGTCTAAAAAGCCTGTAGCTTTCCTCTGATAAAATATTTAGAGAATTCATCTCAGTTCAGTGATATTTTAAATTAGCTGAATAAGTGAAGTGCATTTGGAAAATTCTCCCATTTAGGCAGCCTTTTTGTTTGATCACTTTCATTGGCTTTTCTAGTACTTTGCATTGATTTAGGAACTGTTCCTACACCTTTAGCTCTTCTAATTCTGCCAGGTAGCGTGCTCAACTTCTGAAGCAGTTGGGCAGGAATACCTTGCAAGCTTGTACCGAGACAGGTTATCCAGTTTTTCTCTCATTTATGCTGCTATAAAAAGAGCCATTCTGCTGCTAATAGAAGCCTTGTAGTCACATCACTTGCATATAAAAGTTATGTAGCTAAGAAAGGTTCAACACCTTTGAAACACATTTGTTAATTATTTAGCATACTGCATAATTCCATTCGCTAATAGACAAAGCTAGATGTTATTCTGCAAAGAGTAAAATATAAAGATGTTACCACTTAACCCACAGGACTGAGGCAAATATTTAATAAGAATGATGACAAAACTGAAATGAAAAACATAGGTAACCTTTCCAGCTAAGTACTTAAAGCTTGTGCCCGAAAGTATGAATGAATCATCTGGCTGAAATTAATAAGACACCACGTATCCCAAAAGTGAGTCAGGTTTTTGAAGACATTGAAGTGCCTAACAATGCTGGTAGGCATTCAGCAGGGCTGTCAAAACTAGCTAAGCATCAAATTCTACATAAATAACTGGGAGCAATTATTGTACCTAAGTATCTAGGTGCATTTGACATGTATCTACATCTCTTAGGCATCTCAACAGAAAACTGGTCTTAATGCCAAAAATATATCACATAATCAAAAAAATGTTTCAAAAACCTCAGCTGGTTCTTGTTGACAGTCTGGCCCTGTAATGTTTAATGGAATAAAAAGTGCTTCAAGACATACCAGCCTTTTTACATTTCTAAGGATGTTCGTGCCACAGTGTTAACCAAACCAATAAACCTTATGTGATTGTTCTGTAGTATAGTGCTTGGCTGAGAAATAAATGTCTAATATAAAGTCTCTCAAAGGCAACACAAAGTCAATAATCCACAGAATTAATTCATTGAGAAGAAGCTATTTCTTTTTTATAACTGCACAAATATGACGCTGCCTTCTAAAGCTATTTGTTATTCATGGCTGTACCATATTGTCTGCTCTTCACAAGATGGCAATCTCCTTCAGGGCAAAGAGCTTTGTCTCTGCCTTTTTTCCTAACATTTCACAAGTGATTATCTTAGTAAACTAACAGTAAAATAATGCTCAAAACCCAAAGCACTTACAATAATTTTTCAAAACACAATTAAACCATATGAGTATTGCTTGCTAGATTCCTAACACGAGAGGTAATTGTTCATTTTCTAACTCATCAAAGGTTTCAAAGGGTTTATACAGGAAAATGCTTTTGATTGATGGTAGCATTAAAGGAGATGCTGTTGAAGCTTAGACAGATGTGTATTTATTGTAGCCTTAGTGGTCAGCAGTGCACAACTTTCCTGCAGTCAAACTGAATATACCCACCCCAGTGAGTGATCCACCCAGGCATAGGAGCTCATCTCCTTTCTCCAAGTGGGCCATCTAGTCTGCCTGGGCCCCTCTGACCGACGCTGCCAAGTATATAATGGTACAGTTGTCTCAGCAATTATTCAATAAGCCAGAATAGCTTGGTCAGTAGTTCCTGAAGTGTCACATCGCTTTAGTTTAGTGCTATATAGTATTAGTATATGTAGAGTTATGCAACCTTTAAATTGCCTCCATCAGTTATAAAAAGCAAATGTCTTTACAGCTAGGTAGTTCTTACCTCTCTGTACATAAAAGTCTTCTTTCATGTCCATGGATCTTCATACTTCAGCGACTGACTGTCTGTCTACCCTCAGTGGTTCCTCCTACCATCCTTCAGTCCAGTCACTGCCAATCTCTGGAGAGGAGCAAGTCCATCACACCTGGACTATTGTTCTCAGCAGATAACCAGTTCAGCTGAATCAGTCCTTCAGCTCTTGTGCTCCCACAGGTTAAAAAGTCAGAGAACAAATCAGTCCTCACAATCATCATGACCACTCTGGAGATTACCATCTTGTGCATGGTTCGCACTCAGCTGTATTTTAGATTAACAAGAGCCTTAGCTCATAAGGACTTTAAAGCACCAGCAGAGACCCCTTCCTTCACAGCTTCAATTCACCATCAGTGGTCAGTCAATTACTCTGTCAAGACATAGGAAGTTTGGACTAAACTTAAATTCCATCACCTTATTCTGATCCACTTACATGATCTACAGATTTCTACACTAGTCCACCAGGGTTCCCTTACAGAATCACAGTCTTTCCATGAGTCAGTCTGTGGCAATTCCCTCGCTGTGTACCTCCCCACTACACAGAAACAACCATATGTTGCTTTCCTCTCTTACTGCACACCAGAACAGCATTACACAAATCTACCAGTCTAATTGATATCTGAGACCACAGTAAAGCAAACAGAAACAGGTCTTGTGATCAAAATTACCCTTCACAGTTTTGGTTGCATAGCCTGGTATAACTGCTAAGCCATCTTCTAGTGACTTCTTCCCCTACTTGACCTCTGATGGACATGTCTGGAATCTGTACCAACATCAGTCTTTGCTGCAAATGATACACTAGATGATGATTAAATGTTTTATTTGAAGATGAGCTGGACTGCTGAAGCCAAAGCATTTTGTTGCAAAGGAGTAATCCATCTACCAGCATGATTTATTTGAAAGAAGCCTTCTGTTTAGGTGGCCTCGAAATAAGCAATTTCTGTTATCAATCTCCATTTCAATTATCTTGAGCTATTAGCTTGCTTTGAAGTAAACCAGGACACTAGTTCTGATAGCAATTATTCTTGCCAACCTTTCTTGGGCTGAGGTTTACATATTTGCAAACCCCCAAACATGCCTGTTTTCTGGGGCGTCATTCCTGTGTTTTCACATATAGAGGTATTCTCTCCTTAATTCCAACTAAAGCAGTGAAGGTAATCAACATACTAAACCACAATTTAACTCAGGTATATCAGCCAATTTTTTTTCCACAATCTGAAGAGAGGTGGATTAAAAAAAAAAAGAAAATCAGTAGCTCAAAAGATATGGATTTTCTTGACTACTTAGTTGCATTTGACAGGTTTCTTTCAAGCAAAATGGACCAAGACGGAAGTATGACAATTCAGCAACTGCAGTCCCATAGTTGATGGAAGGTTAGTGGCCAGGCATGTGTTGCAAAACTGGGAAAGATTAAAGAAATCTTTGACAGACTTCAGTGTTAAACCTACTTTTCACACTACTTTATGAACCCACATCCAAAACATAGAAAGAGCACATCTGAGAAAGATACTGATCACATAGTTGTCTAACTGTTTATCGGATTTACCACTAAATGAGAATAAA